CCCCGAGGACGGCATTAGAACCCACTACCCCAGACTGACCACCACCAAGGCCAGTAAAACCCTTCCCTTCAATAAGGAGGTAAAGAGAAGTGTCCCTGTTCAGTTCACTGTTCCACCTCCTCCTGATGTCAACCAAGCTGCTGTCTCTGCTGCCATCAGGAAGGTCATACCTCAGAGCACAGCCTATTGGAACCGTCTAATGTATTCTGGCCTCAGACGACTGGACCAGGGGGGGAACTCAACACGTCAGGAGGCTCTGGACTGGTCCCGTTGCCGACACAACCCCAAGCAGCCCCTGACCAACATTCATGACCTCACTTCTTATCCAGAACTCCACCAGGACTTCGTGCATGGGATGGAGTGTAGAAACCCGCCTATCCTGATCGACCAACCGGAGAAGTGCACCTCGGAGGACAGAGTGACCTTCCTCCTCTTCGCCATCAAGTCGACCCCGAGGAACTTTGAGCAGAGACAGGTGGTACGGGAGACGTGGGGGCGAGAAGCGGTGTACGGAGGAGGGTTCAGAGTTCGTACCGTGTTCCTGCTGGGGACCACCACCCCGGACGAGCCCAACCTGAGCCAGCTGCTGGGGTCTGAGGCGCGTCACCATGGCGACCTCCTCCAGTGGGACTTCCATGACTCGTTCTTCAACCTCACTCTGAAGGAGCAGGTGTTCTACAGGTGGGTGCTGAGCAACTGCCCTAAAGTCTCCTTTGTCTTTAAAGGGGATGATGACGTCTTTGCCAACACTGAAGCCATACTGGGCTACCTGCAGTCCCTGGAGCCTAACAAGGCCTCCAAGCTCTACCTGGGCCAGATCATCTCTACCGCTAGTCCCCTCCGTGACGCCAACACCAAGTACTACATCCCCCTGACCTTCTACGACGGGCCTTACCCTGCGTACGCTGGGGGAGGAGGCTACCTCTTCTCTGGGTCGTTGATCAGACCACTTTACAGCGTCTCCAAGTTCCTCCCTTTCTTCCCCATTGACGACGTCTACACTGGGATGTGCTTCAACGCACTGGGAATACTTCCAGAGGCACACGAAGGCTTCCATACGTTTGACATTCGTGAGCAGGACCGGAATAACCCGTGTGCTCATAAGGATCTGCTGCTGGTGCACCAGCGGAGCCCTCAGCAGATCATGCGACTGTGGAGTGGTATACACAACCCCCTGCTTGTATGTTGAGGGCTAGGGCCTCACTAAGCCTTGGAGGTGGTAGACGTTGACCCCCTCACCACTGACACAGGGTCAGATGTTAAATTCCCAATTTCCATCCCCCCTGTTCATATGCTGAACTATGGTTGCACATTTTCGGGAACTTACAATAAATTCCCTGGTTTCCCAGAAATCCTGGTTGTAGGACTCCGGATATCCTGCTTATTCCGGGAATCCGCCAACCGGGATTCCGGAAAACCATGGAATGTATTCAAAGTTCCCCTGAGTTTTGCAACCCTATTGCAGCTGAACACACAACCCCCTGTTCATATGCTGAATGGCCTGATTGAGCCAGATGTTTTCCTCCCTCCCTCCCTAATGGGATTTGTCATCATCTGATCTGAGATATGTGGTTAGGGCAACGTCTAGCTTTTTAGCTTCACTCTCTCAGGGATTATTTCCACAACTAGGGTTGAAAAACAATCCAGTAACTTTCCCAAAATGTTCAGGTTTTCCAGAAATCCTGGTTGGAGGATTCCACATTTCCTGTTTATTCCCTCCTGTTTCTAGGAATCTTCCAACAGGTTTTTCTGGAAAACCTGGGGATTTTGGGAAAAAGTTACCAGATTTTTGCAATCCTAGGCACGACACTGGCTGACCAAAGATGCACTGGAAATGTTTCTGAAGACATCCTCAGCCCTTCTGTTTCTGCAGACATACTCGATTACCAGTTAGAGGTTTATATGTAAATATGTTTGATAATGCTGGAGGTGATTTTAACTGAACTCACAGGATAGAATAAATGTTTTCCATGAAGTACCTGTTGACGTCTGTAGTTGAGCACAGCCATCCCCTCTTATTGCTGAGTTCTGTGTCTGCATACTGTAGTAGATCTAGATCCCAACTCCAGTCCTCCAGTACCCACAGCCATCCCCTCTTATTGCTGAGTTCTGTGTCTGCATACTGTAGTAGATCTAGATCCCAACTCCAGTCCTCCAGTACCCCCAACAGCCCAACTCCAGTCCTCCAGTACCCCCCCAACAGCCCAACTCCAGTCCTCCAGTACCCGCACCAGCACACCTTTTTGTTGTAGCCCTCGACAAGCACACCCGATTCAACTTGTCAACTAATCATCAGGCCCTCAAATCAGGTGAGTTTGTCCGGGGCTACAACAGAAATGGGCGCTGTTGGGGGTACTGGAGGACTGGAGTTGGGATACTGTTCTAAATTGCATCCAGGATGTGTTCTGCTGCCTGTACTGCCTGAGGTCCAGACTTAGTGTCTGCGGACAATAAAATGTTGTAAGGTATACTTTTTTTGTAAATTAATAAAATAGATACAATTTGGGAGGTGGATTACACATTGATTTATTTACTTGCATGTAGTTGTCTTGATATTCTCCTCTAAGGGACTAAGGGTGTCATTGTATGGTGCTTTCAAGACAAAACAAGGTCAAATCATGTCAGTGATCTTCAGGTTGGAGCTCTAGAATTAGAGCTCTGGATAAGAGCGACTTACAGTTAGTGAGTGCATACATTCTTCATACTGGCCCCCCGTGGGAAACGAAATCACAACCCTGGCGTTGCAAGCGCCGTGCTCTACCAACTGAGCTACAGGAGGCCTACTTGATTTCAGTTGTCTTGAAAATGGCACAAAAAAATCTTGCAGTGATTTTAATTTGAAACTTTTCATTGTGTGTTTATAGGGAGGCAATTACAGTGGGGGAAAAATGTATTTAGTCAGCCACCAATTGTGCAAGTTCTCCCACTTAAAAAGGTGAGAGAGGCCTGTAATTTTCATCATAGGTACACGTCAACTATGACAGACAAAATGAGGAAAAAAAATCCAGAAAATCACATTGTAGGATTTTTAATGAATTTATTTGCAAATTATGGTGGAAAATAAGTATTTGGTCAATAACAAAAGTTTCTCAATACTTTGTTATATACCCTTTATTGGCAATGACACAGGTCAAACGTTTTCTGTAAGTCTTCACAAGGTTTTCACACACTGTTGCTGGTATTTTGGCCCATTCCTCCATGCAGATCCCCTCTAGAGCAGTGATGTTTTGGGGCTGTCGCTGGGCAACACGGACTTTCAACTCCCTCCAAAGATTTTCTATGTGGTTGAGATCTGGAGACTGGCTAGGCCACTCCAGGACCTTGAAATGCTTCTTACGAAGCCACTCCTTCGTTGCCCGGGCGGTGTGTTTGGGATCATTGTCATGCTGAAAGACCCAGCCACGTTTCATCTTCAATGCCCTTGCTGATGGAAGGAGGTTTTCACTCAAAATCTCACAATACATGGCCCCATTCATTCTTTCCTTTACACAGATCAGTCGTCCTGGTCCCTTTGCAGAAAAACAGCCCCAAAGCATGATGTTTCCACCCCCATGCTTCACAGTAGGTATGGTGTTCTTTGGATGCAACTCAGCATTATTTGTCCTCCAAACACGACTAGTTGAGTTTTTACCAAAAAGTTCTATTTTGGTTTCATCTGACCATATGTCATTCTCCCAATCTTCTTCTTGATCATCCAAATGCACTCTAGCAAACTTCAGACGGGCCTGGACATGTACTGGCTTAAGCAGGGGGACACGTCTGGCACTGCAGGATTTGAGTCCCTGGCGGCGTAGTGTGTTACTGATGGTAGGCTTTGTTACTTTGGTCCCAGCTCTCTGCAGGTCATTCACTAGGTCCCCCCGTGTGGTTCTGGGATTTTTGCTCACCGTTCTTGTGATCATTTTGACCCCAAGGGGTGAGATCTTGCGTGGAGCCCCAGATCGAGGGAGATTATCAGTGGTCTTGTATGTCTTCCATTTCCTAATAATTTCTCCCACAGTTGATTTCTTCAAACCAAGCTGCTTACCTATTGCAGATTCAGTCTTCCCAGCCTGGTGCAGGTCTACAATTTTGTTTCTGGTGTCCTTTGACAGCTCTTTGGTCTTGGCTATAGTGGAGATTGGAGTGTGACTGTTTGAGGTTGTGGACAGGTGTCTTTTATACTGATAACAAGTTCAAACAGGTGCCATTAATACAGGTAACGAGTGGAGGACAGAGGAGCCTCTTAAAGAAGAAGTTACAGGTCTGTGAGAGCCAGAAATCTTGCTTGTTTGTAGGTGACCAAATACTTATTTTCCACCATAATTTGCAAATAAATTCATAAAAATCCTACAATGTGATTTTCTGGATTTTTTGTTCTCAATTTGTCTGTCATAGTTGACGTGTACCTATGATGAAAATTACAGGCCTCTCTCATCTTTTTAAGTGGGAGAACTTGCACAATTGGTGGCTGACTAAATACTTTTTTTCCCCCCACTGTATTTATCTAGAATGTAATAAACTGAGCAGTACGTTAGTTATGATGAATATTGTTGAAAAGTTGGCCTCCTGAGTGATGCAGAGGCTCCACTACAGCTTTGGATTAGATCCCAGGCTGTGTCGTGACCGGGGAGACCCATGGGGCGGCTAGATCCCAGGCTGTGTCGTGACCGGGAGACCCAAGGGGCGGCGCACAATTGGCCCAGCGTTGTCCGTGTCAGGGGAGGGATCTCCTTGGCTCATCGCACTCTTGTGGCGGGCCGGGCGCCTGCAAGCTGACTTCGGTCGTCAGTTGAACTGTGTTTCCTCCGACACGTCGGTGTGGCTGGCTTCCGGGTTAAGCGAGCAGTGTGTTAAGAAGCAGCGCGGCACGACGGATCGTGTTTCGGAGGACGCGTGTACATATGACTCAACCTTTGCCTCTCCTGAGCCCGTTGGGGAGTTGCAGCGATGAGACAAGATCGTAACTACCAATTGGGGAGAAAAAGCGGGTAAAATTCACAAAAATAAATGTTTATTAAATCACGCATTAACCTCAATCATGCCAGATTGAGGTTTATGGTTGGTTTTGTACGGTGGTATACTATACAGCACCTCCATTCATGTCAAACAACTTTGTCTCCACAGCATCTTTTTATTTTTTAGACATGTTGGAATCAACAAAACTCAGAACATTACAAACAGTATTAGTGACAGGCTCCGTGTTCTGTTCCCTCAAATGATCAGTCATCTGTGTTCTAGACGTTTATTCAGTGACAGCACACAAACCTGTACACCCACATTTTGGGGCGTCTACTTTAAAATACACCTCAGCCATAGACCCAGTACCAACAGCTAGAAAACTATCCATATCAAGAGGAGAGTGGCAGTCTACAGTATTGCGTAATAACCGTCGCACAGAAAGGAGGATTTTAAAGGAAATGGGTGAAACATAAAAGGTACAGCATGAGAACACCACTGGTATAGGGGATGAGATGGGTAGATAGATGGTTCCCACAGCATGCTTCACTCAGATACAGATGCAATACGTACTGATAATCTCAGGTACTACTAACCAGTGTGCAAAAATGCCTTTTGCTCACCGGCAAGACTCCTGTAGACTGATAAATGCTGGTGACTCGTGACTTGTTGAGCGAGCAGGAAAATCTTGATCATCCTGTTTAACACAGTTCACGGGTGGGGAAAACTGCGTCAGACTCTCTCATTCATTCAAGGCACGAAAACCAGAGGCCCATAGTGGTTGATGGACAGGCGGAACAAAACAATGAACATTTTCCTCCTTCCTCCTCCCTCCCACTACTCTGCAGAAAGCAGTAGAATTGCAGCCTGGTCAGAACATCAGAACTATAACTCTATACAGTAGAATACAAAGCGGGCCTAAATATTCTGATACATTTTTTATATATATTTTTTTAGAAAGATAAGCTTGAAATGGGCATGATCTAATTGATTCAACAAACAAAAAACAAATACCCAAAGTTTAGCTTTTTTTAATAAACCAGAAAATAAAAAAGTGATTTCTAGTTGCTCATCAAAGTTAGCTGGCTAACTCATTGATCCTGCTTTGTAGTATCCCCCCCTGTGGTGGTGGTGGAGGTGTTTACTTGGCGTAGGCGTCCAGGGGATAGTGCTCTTTGTACTGCTGGACGTGTCTCCACATGGCCTCCTTCTGCTTGACCAGGTTAGGGGTCATCTCTTCATACACATCAGAGAACATCAGGTCAGGGTGGGGCTTGTGCCTCTTCTCGGCCTTCTCAAACGCCTCCATCACCATCTTACGGCTCTGCTTCCTCCAGCTCCTCTCATCTTCCTCGGACCACCAGGAGCGGGCCGTCATGTAGTGGCGCAGCCGGGAGATGGGGTGGTCCTGCTTGTCCCAGTAGTTCACCTCATCTACGGAGCGGTAGGCCGAGCTGTCGTCGCTGGTGCTGTGGTGACCAATCCTGAGGGATGGGACGGAGGAGAACGTCAGTGGAAGTTTAGGTCAGGTAAATGTTTCCCCCAGTATTATATAATGCGGGGTGCCTCTGGTCTTAGAATGCTCTTAAACTATGGTTTTGATTCAACCTCTTGTTAATAATTCATGCCACGAGACAACCAACAGAGGTGTCATCTTGAAGGACAATGTAAATAAATCCTCTGAACTCCTTGGGTGCGTTCAGATAGAAATATATATGTAGAACAAGGAGTCACGTTGGCTCTATTCATACCATTTCTATCTGCAACATTCAACAACGTTTGGCAACTGAACGTGGCCCAGTCTGATAGGTAATGTACCTGTAGGTCATGGCCTCAATGAGGAAGGGCTGGTTCTCGGCCACAGCCCTGCGGCGAGCTTCCTTGGTAGCATTGTACACAGCGAACACGTCGTTACCGTCCACTCTGATAGACATCATACCGTAGCCTGGACCGCGGGCGGCTGGGAAGAGAATAAACACATTGTTTGTTCACTGTACATAACACGACACACAGATCCTCATAACTGGAAAGAGAATCATACACAAACAGTAAGTCTTTCTCCTTGTTGTCTTGCTAGCATTTAGAGGAGTAATTTAGCAGACGCTCTTATCCAGAGCCACTTACAATAAGACAACCACATATCACAAGTAAAACCTTATTTCAGACATTGGGGATCTTTTCCAAATGAGTCTCTGTCGTTATTTCTGTGTACGTGGTTGTTTTGTACTGGACCTCAGGAAGACTAGCTGTTGTTTTAGTCCTGTAACAAGGTGATGGGAAACCCAAACAAACAGAACAACACGCTGCCTGTCTTACCGATGCCGTCCCCCCGGTACTGCTCGTTGGTCGGCGTGGAGATGGCGTAGCCGTTGTTACGGCAGAAGAAGATGAGCGGGCACTCCAGGGTGGCAGAGAAGTTGAACCCGGCGTGAGCGTCGCCCTCGCTGGCCGCGCCCTCTCCGAAGTAACAGATCACAGCACGGTTGGTGTTCTCTCTCTTCACTGCATAGGCTGCCCCCGCCGCTAGTATAGAGATAGGTAGGGGTTAGTACACAGGGGTAGGGGTTAGTACACAGAGGTAGGGGTTAGTACACAGGGGTAGGGGTTAGTACACAGAGACGTAGGGGTTAGTACACAGAGGTAGGGGTTAGTACACAGAGGTAGGGGTTAGTAACACAGGGGTAGGGGTTAGTACACAGAGAGTAGGGGTTAGTACACAGGGGTAGGGGTTAGTACACAGAGGTAGGGGTTAGTACACACAGAGGTAGGGGTTAGTACACAGAGACGTAGGGGTTAGTACACAGGGGTAGGGGTAGTACCACAGGGTAGGGTTAGTACACAGGGTAGGGGTGTACACAGGGGTAGGGGTTAGTACACAGAGGTAGGGGTTAGTACACAGGGTAGGGGTTAGTACACAGGGGTAGGGGTTAGTACACAGAGGGGTAGGGGTTAGTACACAGAGGTAGGGGTTAGTACACAGAGGTAGGGGTAGTACACAGAGGTAGGGGTTAGTACACAGAGGGGTAGGGGTTAGTACACAGAGGGTAGGGGTTAGTACACAGAGGTAGGGGTTAGTACACAGAGGGTAGGGGTTAGTACACAGAGGGGTAGGGGTTAGTACACAGAGGTAGGGTTAGTACACAGAGGTAGGGGTTAGTACACAGAGGTAGGGGTTAGTACACAGAGTAGGTTAGTACAAGAGGTAGGGGTTAGTACCGAGGTAGGGGTTAGTACACAAGGTAGGTTATACAAGAGGGGTAGGGTAGTCAGGGTAGGGTTAGTAACAGAGTAGGGGTTAGTCAAGTTAGTATATACAGAGAGTCATCCCTGGTCATCCCTGGTCATCCCTGGTCATCCCTGGTCATCCCTACTACCTCTAATCGGGCAGACTCTCTAAACACAAATGCTTCATTTGTAAATTATGTCTGAGTGTTGGAGTGTGCCCCTGGCTATCCGTAAATAAAAACAAGAAAATGGCGCCTTCTGGTTTGCTTAATATAAGGAATGTGAAATGATTTTTACTTTTACTTTTGATTCTGAAGTATATTTAAAACCAAATACTTTTAGACTTTTACTCATGTAGTATTTTACTGGGTGACATTTTCTATTAAGGTATACTCAAGTATGACAATTGAGTACTTGTTCCACCACTGCAGAAAGGTAGGGGTTAGTACATGCAGAAAGGTAGGGGTTAGTACACAAGAGTAAGGACTACAAGGTCCCAGATGTATAATCTATGCCAGTGTAGTCTATAAATGTTGATAGTCTTTTAACTCAAGAGTTTAAGAAGTGCCTGAATAATGGCCAGTAAAGTGAAGTGGACTGAAAAAAACTGGAACCTGACCATGAACAAACTCTGAGCCCAGATATAACCAGTAGCTAAATAGGGCCCGGAGTGTTTCCTAGCCAGGTCACATGGTCAGGAGCAGCGTTGGGGTTAACTCTGTTTCAACTCAGGAAGACCCGAGATTCCAATTCTCTTCACTGCTTTTCAATTAGGAACATTTGGAATTGGAATTTGGTTTACATTCTGAATTGACTGGAATTGAAATGGAGTTAACCCCAACCATGGTCAGGACAGGAGAGACTCCTAGCCCTAGATATTTAGCCTGAGACAGGGGCAGGGGCTCACCCTGTGGGATCTGGGTGGCCAGAGGAGAGGAGATGGTGACGAAGTTGAGGTCTTTGCTGCCGTAGTGGACGGGCATCTGGCGACCCTTGCCCAGGTCGTCAACGTTGGCATAGCACTGTGCCATGAACAGGTCCAGGGGGAAACCACGGTACATCAGCACGCCTACCGGACAGAAACACAGAGGGCTGTTAACCCTAACCCTACCGGACACAGAGGGCTGTTAACCCTAACCCTACAGGACACAGAGGGCTGTTAACCCTAACCCTACCGGACACAGAGGGCTGTTAACCCTAACCCTACCGGACACAGAGGGCTGTTAACCCTAACCCTACCGGACACAGAGGGCTGTTAACCCTAACCCTACCGGACACAGAGGGCTGTTAACCCTAACCCTACCGGACACAGAGGGCTGTTAACCCTAACCCTACCGGACACAGAGGGCTGTTAACCCTAACCCTACAGGACACAGAGGGCTGTTAACCCTAACCCTACAGGACACAGAGGGCTGTTAACCCTAACCCTACAGGACACAGAGGGCTGTTAACCCTAACCCTACAGGACACAGAGGGCTGTTAACCCTAACCCTACAGGACACAGAGGGCTGTTAACCCTAACCCTACAGGACACAGAGGGCTGTTAACCCTAACCCTACAGGACACAGAGGGCTGTTAACCCTAACCCTACCGGACACAGAGGGCTGTTAACCCTAACCCTACAGGACACAGAGGGCTGTTAACCCTAACCCTACCGGACACAGAGGGCTGTTAACCCTAAACCCTACAGGACACAGAGGGCTGTTAACCCTAACCCTACAGGACACAGAGGGCTGTTAACCCTAACCCTACCGGACACAGAGGGCTGTTAACCCTAACCCTACCGGACACAGAGGGCTGTTAACCCTAACCCTACAGGACACAGAGGGCTGTTAACCCTAACCCTTCAGGACACAGAGGGCTGTTAACCCTAACCCTACAGGACACAGAGGGTTGTTAAACACTGAATGAGAGTCAATGTATTATTTAGAAGCTTAATTAGCACTGTCTGTTTGTGAATAGTTTGACACATCATGGATGACATGGTCGTATTCACTAGGTTTGACACATCATGGATGACATGGTCGTATTCACTAGGCTCCAAACGGTATTAAAAAGGGCTGAAACAGGGAGGGGTTACCTGCACTTGTCCAATAAGAAACACTTGTTTTTGTTTTCCGTTGCAAAACTATTTGCCACGGTGTGCTCTAATGAATGGTTTGTTATTGGCTGAGTTAATGCATTATTTACAATAACAGTTAATCCATGATTTAGTTTCGTCAGTGTTTCACTCCGCTTTGAAGCAAAGCTGTATCAAATGACAGTCCAATCAGTGAGGCGGAACAGTGTAACAGTTCTTCCTCTCACTGAACCCCATTGAATACTCCCAGTCGGTTTTAGAACGTCGCGGCTCCGCCCGCCTGTGGGGAAAACAACATGTGGTTACCCCATTGGCTCACAGCAAAAAAACGTGACTTTTTAAAACATTTTTTTGTTGTTGTCTGCTTGTTTTAGTCAATTACAAAACTAGATTTAAGAAAAGTACATGTCTAAAGATGACTCCCGAGGTTCCCACTACTCAAAGCATAATATTGTAGAGCCTCCCTCAGGCCCCTTTTCATGACGCCGCTAGCAGCCATGTGAGTGAGCGCTAGTTAGCTACCGACTGGAACATTAAGCTAGTCAAGACCAACAACACAAACAAACAGACTATACAGCTACAAGTAGTGAATGGAGTTACAAACAGACTCTACAGCTACAAGTAGTGAGTGGAGTTACAAACAGACTATAGAGCTACAAGTAGTGAGTGGGGTTACAAACAGACTATACAGCTACAAGTAGTGAGTGGAGTTACAAACAGACTATAGAGCTACAAGTAGTGAGTGGAGTTACAAACAGACTATACAGCTACAAGTAGTGAGTGGAGTTACAGACTCTACAGCTACAAGTAGTGAGTGGAGTTACAAACAGACTATACAGCTACAAGTAGTGAGTGGAGTTACAAACAGACTATACAGCTACAAGTAGTGAGTGGAGTTACAAACAGACTATACAGCTACAAGTAGTGAGTGGAGTTACAAACAGGACTATACAGCTACAAGTAGTGAGTGGAGTTACAAACAGACTATACAGCAACAAGTAGTGAGTGGAGTTTACAAACAGGACTATACAGCTACAAGTAGTGAGTGGAGTTACAAAACAGACTATACAGCTACAAGTAGTGAGTGGAGTTACAAACAGACTTACAGCTACAAGTAGTGAGTGGAGTTACAAACAGACTATAGAGCTACAAGTAGTGAGTGGAGTTACAAACAGACTATACAGCTACAAGTAGTGAGTGGAAGTTAGCTACAAGGAGGGAGTACAAACCGTATACAGCTACAAGTAGTGAGTGGAGTTACAAACAGACTATAGCAGCTACAAGTAGTGGTGGAGTTACAAACAGACTATACAGCTACAAGTAGTGAGTGGAGTTACAAACAGACTATACAGCTACAAGTAGTGAGTGAGTTACAAACAGACTAAGCTACAAGTAGTGAGTGGAGTTACAAACAGACTATAGAGCTACAAGTAGTGAGTGGAGTTACAAACAGACTATAGAGCTACAAGTAGTGAGTGGAGTTACAAACAGACTATACAGCTACAAGTAGTGAGTGGAGTTACAGACTCTACAGCTACAAGTAGTGAGTGGAGTTACAAACAGACTATAGAGCTACAAGTAGTGAGTGGAGTTACAAACAGACTATACAGCTACAAGTAGTGAGTGGAGTTACAAACAGACTATACAGCTACAAGTAGTGAGTGGAGTTACAAACAGACTATAGAGCTACAAGTAGTGAGTGGAGTTACAAACAGACTATACAGCTACAAGTAGTGAGTGGAGTTACAAACAGACTATAGAGCTACAAGTAGTGAGTGGGGTTACAAACAGACTCTACTAAACAAGTTAAACGTCTTACCTGTGATGAAATGTTTTCCACACATAGAGCTACAGTTACATGTAACCTACTTGGACACCGGGTCCCCACAATTTCCCACTCAGCATAGCCTGAAGCCACAGGGCTCTTCCCCCAGGCTCTATTTCCCACTCAGCGTAGCCTGAAGCCACAAGGCTCTTCCCCCAGGCTCTATTTCCCACTCAGCGTAGCCTGAAGCCACAGGGCTCTTCCCCCAGGCTCTATTTCCCACTCAGCATAGCCTGAAGCCACAGGGCTCTTCCCCCAGGCTCTATTTCCCACTCAGCATAGCCTGAAGCCACAAGGCTCTTCCCCCAGGCTCTATTTCCCACTCAGCATAGCCTGAAGCCACAGGGCTCTTCCCCCAGGCTCTATTTCCCACTCAGCGTAGCCTGAAGCCACAAGGCTCTTCCCCCAGGCTCTATTTCCCACTCAGCGTAGCCTGAAGCCACAGGGCTCTTCCCCCAGGCTCTATTTCCCACTCAGCGTAGCCTGAAGCCACAAGGCTCTTCCCCCAGGCTCTATTTCCCACTCAGCATAGCCTGAAGCCACAGGGCTCTTCCCCCAGGCTCTATTTCCCACTCAGCATAGCCTGAAGCCACAAGGCTCTTCCCCCAGGCTCTATTTCCCACTCAGCATAGCCTGAAGCCACAGGGCTCTTCCCCAGGCTCTATTTCTCACTCAGCATAGCCTGAAGCCACAAGGCTCTTCCCCCAGGCTCTATTTCCCACTCAGCATAGCCTGAAGCCACAAGGCTCTTCCCCCAGGCTCTATTTCCCACTCAGCATAGCCTGAAGCCACAGGGCTCTTCCCCCAGGCTCTATTTCCCACTCAGCATAGCCTGAAGGCACAGGGCTCTTCCCCCAGGCTCTATTTCCCACTCAGCGTAGCCTGAAGCCACAAGGCTCTTCCCCCCAGGCTCTATTTCCCACTCAGCATAGCCTGAAGCCACAGGGCTCTTCCCCCAGGCTCTATTTCCCACTCAGCATAGCCTGAAGCCACAGGGCTCTTCCCCCAGGCTCTATTTCGCTACGTGGGAGCATTGCGAACCACTGGTCGGGATTTTTGACCTAGTTACACACAGCAGCTTTTCGGCATGTTTAGTTATTTCTGAAGTTGTCTCTTTTACACTAGGGGTCAATGTGAAAGAAAGTTTGTTTTCAACCAATTTGTGGGCGTGGTCGAGGGGAATTCCTCGTTATTACATGAATATCGACTTGGAGTATCCTTAAAACAGTGGTGAGATGTCAACAGTTAATCCTCTCACTGAACCCTATTGGATCCTTACCTGCTTCCCTGTACTGGCCAAACACCAAGTCCCTTGGGTCGAGAGCTGCAGCGCTGCCGATGTGTGTTCCCTCCTCCCCATAGTTAGTCATATAGAAGGATATACGACCCTGCAAAACACACATCATTAGAGTCCTGTCTAGGGTAATACGACCCTGCAAAACCCACATCATTAGAGTCCTGTCTAGGGTAATACGACCCTGCAAAACACACATCATTAGAGTCCTGTCTAGGGTAATACGACCCTGCAAAACACACATCATTAGAGTCCTGTCTAGGGTAATACGACCCTGCAAAACACACATCATTAGAGTCCTGTCTAGGGTAATACGACCCTGCAAAACACACATCATTAGAGTCCTGTCTAGGGTAGTACGACCCTACAACACACATCATTAGAGTCCTGTCTAGGGTAGTACGACCCTGCAAAACACACATCATTAGAGTCCTGTCTAGGGTAATACGACCCTGCAAAACACACATCATTAGAGTCCTGTCTAGGGTAATACGACCCTGCAAAACACACATCATTAGAGTCCTGTCTAGGGTAATACGACCCTGCAAAACACACATCATTAGAGTCCTGTCTAGGGTAATACGACCCTGCAAAACACACATCATTAGAGTCCTGTCTAGGGTAATACGACCCTGCAAACACACATCATTAGAGTCCTGTCTAGGGTAATACGACCCTGCAAAACACACATCATTAGAGTCCTGTCTAGGGTATACGACCCTGCAAAACACACATCATTAGAGTCCTGTCTAGGGTAATACGACCCTGCAAAAACACACATCATTAGAGTCCTGTCTAGGGTAATACGACCCTGTAACACACACATCATTAGAGTCCTGTCTAGGGTAATACGACCCTGCAAAACACACATCATTAGAGTCCTGTCTAGGGTAATACGACCCTGCAACACACATCATTAGAGTCCTGTCTAGGGTAATACGACCCTGCAAAACACACATCATTAGAGTCCTGTCTAGGGTAATACGACCCTGCAACACACATCATTAGAGTCCTGTCTAGGGTAATACGACCCTACAACACACATCATTAGAGTCCTGTCTAGGGTAATACCACCCTACAACCCACATCATTAGAGTCCTGTCTAGGGTAATACGACCCTACAACACACATCATTAGAGTCCTGTCTAGGGTAATACGACCCTGCAACAGACATCATTAGAGTCCTGTCTAGGGTAATACGACCCTGCAACACACATCATTAGAGTCCTGTCTAGGGTAATACGACCCTACAACACACATCATTAGAGTCCTGTCTAGGGTAATACGACCCTGAAACCCACATCATTAGAGTCCTGTCTAGGGTAATACGACCCTGCAACACACATCATTAGAGTCCTGTCTAGGGTAATACGACCCTACAACCCACATCATTAGAGTCCTGTCTAGGGTAATACGACCCTACAACACACATCATTAGAGTCCTGTCTAGGGTAATACGACCCTGCAGAACAGACATCATTAGAGTCCTGTCTAGGGTAATACGACCCTGCAAAACACACATCATTAGAGTCCTGTCTAGGGTAATACGACCCTGCAAAACAGACATCATTAGAGTCCTGTCTAGGGTAATACGACCCTACAACACACATCATTAGAGTCCTGTCTAGGGTAATACGACCCTGCAGAACAGACATCATTAGAGTCCTGTCTAGGGTAATACGACCCTGCAAAACACACATCATTAGAGTCCTGTCTAGGGTAATACGACCCTGCAAAACAGACATCATTAGAGTCCTGTCTAGGGTAATACGACCCTACAACACACATCATTAGAGTCCTGTCTAGGGTAATACGACCCTGCAACCCACATCATTAGAGTCCTGTCTAGGGTAATACGACCCTGAAACCCACATCATTAGAGTCCTGTCTAGGGTAGTACGACCCTGCAACAGACATCATTAGAGTCCTGTCTAGGGTAATACGACCCTGCAAAACAGACATCATTAGAGTCCTGTCTAGGGTAATACGACCCTACAACACACATCATTAGAGTCCTGTCTAGGGTAGTACGACCCTGCAACAGACATCATTAGAGTCCTGTCACATTGATCTCTACTGACACACTGTCAAACACAGCCATGTCCATGATCAATAGAAAGACCAGGGAAGGGTACCAAATGGGCCCTGGTCAAAAGTACTGCCCTATAGGGAATAGGGTGCCCTTTGGAATGCAGCCCTCACCACAGACCCATGTGGTAGCTCTCTCTCACCTGCCTCTGAGATTCATAGAGGATCCGGTCCATGGTGTTCAGAAGGGTCATCTTCTGGTAGAAGTTCAACACTGTCTCCTTGGAGAGCTGGGGGGAGGAAGGAAGGGCAAACATAAATCAGCCAATCAGCCAGGGAGGGCAGTCATAGAGATAGGGATTCTAATTCTGTGGACAAGGTGCTGTATAATACAGAGTGGTAGTCATAGAGATAGGGATTCTAATTCTGTGGACAAGGTGCTGTATAATACAGAGTGGTAGTCATAGAGATAGGGATTCTAATTCTGTGGACAAGGTGCTGTATAATACAGAGTGGTAGTCATAGAGATAGGGATTCTAATTATATGGACAAGGTGCTGTATAATACAGAGTGGTAGTCATAGAGATAGGGATTCTAATTCTGTGGACAAGGTGCTGTATAATACAGAGTGGTAGTCATAGAGATAGGGATTCTAATTCTGTGGACAAGGTGCTGTATAATACAGAGTGGTAGTCATAGAGATAGGGATTCTAATTATATGGACAAGGTGCTGTATAATACAGAGTGGTAGTCATAGAGATAGGGATTCTAATTCTGTGGACAAGGTGCTGTATAATACAGAGTGGTAGTCATAGAGATAGGGATTCTAATTCTGTGGACAAGGTGCTGTATAATACAGAGTGGTAGTCATAGAGATAGGGATTCTAATTATATGGACAAGGTGCTGTATAATACAGAGTGGTAGTCATAGAGATAGGGATTCTAATTCTGTGGACAAGGTGCTGTATAATACAGAGTGGTAGTCATAGAGATAGGGATTCTAATTCTATGGACAAGGTGCTGTATAATACAGAGTGGTAGTCATAGAGATAGGGATTCTAATTCTATGGACAAGGTGCTGTATAATACAGAGTGGTAGTCCTAGAGATAGGGATTCTAATTCTGTGGACAAGGTGCTATATAATACAGAGTGGTAGTCCTAGAGATAGGGATTCTAATTCTGTGGACAAGGTGCTGTATAATACAGAGTGGTAGTCATAGAGATAGGGATTCTAATTCTGTGGACAAGGTGCTGTATAATACAGAGTGGTAGTCATAGAGATAGGGATTCTAATTCTGTGGACAAGGTGCTGTATAATACAGAGTGGTAGTCATAGAGATAGGGATTCTAATTCTGTGGACAAGGTGCTGTATAATACAGAGTGGTAGTCATAGAGATAGGGGATTCTAATTCTGTGGACAAGGTGCTGTATAATACAGAGTGGTTAGTCATAGAGATAGGGATTCTAATTCTATGGACAAGGTGCTGTATAATACAGAGTGGTAGTCATAGAGATAGGGATTCTAATTCTATGGACAAGGTGCTGTATAATACAGAGTGGTAGTCATAGAGATAGGGATTCTAATTCTGTGGACAAGGTGCTGTATAATACAGAGTGGTAGTCATAGGATAGGGATCTAATTCTGTGGACAAGGTGCTGTATAATACAGAGTGTAGGGATTCTAATTCTGTGGACAAGGTGCTGTATAATACAGAGTGGTAGTCATAGAGATAGGGATTCTAATTCTGTGGACAAGGTGCTGTATAATACAGAGTGGTAGTCATAGAGATAGGGATTCTAATTCTGTGGACAAGGTGCTGTATAATACAGAGTGGTAGTCATAGAGATAGGGATTCTAATTCTGTGGACAAGGTGCTGTATAATACAGAGTGGTAGTCATAGAGATAGGGATTCTAATTCTGTGGACAAGGTGCTGTATAATACAGAGTGGTAGTCCTAGAGATAGGGATTCTAATTCTGTGGACAAGGTGCTGTATATACAGAGTGGTAGTCATAGAGATAGGGATTCTAATTCTGTGGACAAGGTGCTGTATAATACAGAGTGGTAGTCTAGAGATAGGGATTCTAATTCTGTGGACAAGGTGCTGTATAATACAGAGTGGTAGTCCATAGAGATAGGGATTCTAATTCTGTGGACAAGGTGCTGTATAATACAGAGTGGTAGTCATAGAGATAGGGATTCTAATTCTGTGGACAAGGTGCTGTATAATACAGAGTGGTAGTCATAGAGATAGGGATTCTAATTCTATGGACAAGGTGCTGTATAATCTAATTGTAGGACAAGGTGCTTGTATAATAACAGAGTGGTAGTCATAGAGATAGGGATTCTAATTCTGTGACAAGGTGCGGTATAATACAGAGTGGTAGTCATAGAGATAGGGATTCTAATTCTATGGACAAGGTGCTGTATAATACAGAGTGGTAGTCATAGAGATAGGGATTCTAATTCTATGGACAAGGTGCTGTATAATACAGAGTGGGTAGTCATAGAGATAGGGATTCTAATTCTGTGGACAAGGTGCTGTATAATACAGAGTGGTAGTCATAGAGATAGGGATTCTAATTCTATGGACAAGGTGCTGTATAATACAGAGTGGTAGTCATAGAGATAGGGATTCTAATTCTATGGACAAGGTGCTGTATAATACAGAGTGGTAGTCATAGAGATAGGGATTCTAATTCTGTGGACAAGGTGCTGTATAATACAGAGTGGTAGTCATAGAGATAGGGATTCTAATTCTGTGGACAAGGTGCTGTATAACACAGAGTGGTAGTCATAGAGATAGGGATTCTAATTCTGTGGACAAGGTGCTGTATAATACAGAGTGGTAGTCATAGAGATAGGGATTCTAATTCTGTGGACAAGGTGCTGTATAATACATTTACATTACATTTTACATTTTAGTCATTTAGCAGACGCTCTTATCCAGAGCGACTTACAGTTAGTGAATACATCTTTTTTTTATACTGGCCCCCCGTGGGAATCAAACCCACAACCCTGGCGTTGCAAACGCCATGCTCTATCAACTGAGCTACATCCCTGCCGGCCATTCCCTCCCCTACCCTGGACGACGCTGGGCCAATTGTGCGCCGCCCCCATGAGTCTCCCCGGTCGCGGCCGGCTGCGACAGAGCCTTGGATTCGAACCAGGATCTCTAGTGGCACAGTTAACACTGCGATGCAGTGCCTTAGACCACTGCGCCACTCAGGAGACAGAGTGGTAGTCATAGAGATAGGGATTCTAATTCTGTGGACAAGGTGCTGTATAATACAGAGTGGTAGTCATAGAGATAGGGATTCTAATTCTGTGGACAAGGTGCTGTATAATACAGAGTGGTAGTCATAGAGATAGGGATTCTAATTCTATGGACAAGGTGCTGTATAATACAGAGTGGTAGTCATAGAGATAGGGATTCTAATTCTAACTGTGTGCACCTTGGATATTATGTAGTATACTGTACTGACACCTGCAGTAGACTGGGTTAAAGACCTGTGTAGTATGAACTAGTACTGTGGGTCATCTGAGGGGTTAAAGACCTGTGTAGTATGAACTAGTACTGTGGGTCATCTGAGGGGTTAAAGACCTGTGTAGTATGAACTAGTACTGTGGGTCATCTGAGGGGTTAAAGACCTGTGTAGTATGAACTAGTACTGTGGGTCATCTGAGGGGTTAAAGACCTGTGTAGTATGAACTAGTACTGTGGGTCATCTGAGGGGTTAAAGACCTGTGTAGTATGAACTAGTACTGTGGGTCATCTGAGGGGTTAAAGACCTGTGTAGTATGAACTAGTACTGTGGGTCATCTGAGGGGTTAAAGACCTGTGTAGTATGAACTAGTACTGTGGGTCATCTGAGGGGTTAAAGACCTGTGTAGTATGAACTAGTACTGTGGGTCATCTGAGGGGTTAAAGACCTGTGTAGTATGAACTAGTACTGTGTGTACTGTTACCTGTGGGTCCTCTGTGGGGTTAATGATCTTCCCGGCCCGGTCCATGACCCTGTAGATGGGGATCCCAGAGATCACGTTAGGTTGGATGAACTCCAGGTGATCAATAAACTCTGCTGACGCTCCGGGGAACTGGGGCTTCTCTTCTGAGGAGTCAAACGGCTGCTGTCTGAGCGCTCCCTAAGCCATAGACAGAGACAGAGAGAACGACAGGGAGAGACAGACAGAGAGAGAGACAGAGAGAGAGACAGAGAGAGAGACAGAGAGAGAGACAGAGAGAGAGACAGAGAGAGAGACAGGGAGAGCGACAGAGAGAGACAGACAGAGAGAGCGACAGAGGGAGAGACAGAGAGAGAGACAGAGAGAGCGACAGGGAGAGCGACAGGGAGAGACAGAGAGAGAGACAGAGAGAGCGACAGGGAGAGAGAGAGCGACAGCGAGAGAGACAGAGACAGAGACAGAGAGAGCGACAGAGAGGGACAGACAGAGAAAAGGAGAAAGAGAGAGACAACCCAGATGTCAGAAACACAAATAGAAATTCACTTTAAACAACACCATAATTGAACACACAAAAAATTACTCATACCTTGGTCTGACCATATCTGCATCGGGAAACTTGAATATGGCAGTGAATGCACTCAAAGAAAAAGCCCACCGAGCATTGTATGCAATAAAAATGAAATTATTTTAAAATCAACATCCCAATTAGAATTTGGACCAAAATATTTGACAGCGTAATCCTACCAATAGCTCTTTACGGAAGTGAGGTTTGGGGGCCACTCAATAAACTGGACTTTAAAATGTGGTACAAAGATCCAATTGAAGCCCTACATGCAGAATTATGTCGGAAAATTCTACAAGTCCAAAGAAATACACCAACTAATGCATGTAGGGCAGAACTGGGCCGCTTTCCAGTGGTAAAGAGAGAGCGTCACCAACCAAGGAGGGCCTACAGCAGCACCTAGATCTTCTGCACAGATTATGTCAGACCTGGGCCCTGACAGTAAATATCAGTAAGACAAAAATAATGGTGTTCCAAAAAACGTCCAGTTGCCAGGACCACAAATACAAATTCCATCTAGACACCGTTGCCCTAGAGCACACAAAAAACTATACATACCCTCGGCCTAAACATCAGCGCCACAGGTAACTTCCACAAAGCTGTGAACGATCTGAGAGACAAGGCAAGAAGGGCCTTCTATGCCATCAAAAGGAACATAAAATTTGACATACCAATTAGGATCTGGCTAAAAATACTTGAATCAGTTATAGAACCCATTGCCCTTTATGGTTCTGAGGTCTGGGGTCCACTCACCAACCAAGAATTCACAAAATGGGACAAACACCAAATTGAGACTCTGCATGCAGAATTCTGCAAAAATATCCTCCGTGTACAACGTAAAACACCAAATAATGCATGCAGAGCAGAATTAGGCCAATACCCGCTAATTATCTAAATCCAGAAAAGAGCCGTTAAATTCTATAACCACTTAAAAGGAAGCGATTCCCAAACCTTCCATAACAAAGCCATCACCTACAGAGAGATGAACTTGGAGAAGAGTCCCCTAAGTAAGCTGGTCCTGGGGCTCTGTTCACAAACACAAACAGACCCCACACAGCCCCAGGACAACAACAACAACACAATTAGACCCAACCAAATCATGAGAAAACAAAAAGAGAATTACTTGACACATTGGAAAGAACAAACAAAAAAACAGAGCAAACTTGAATGCTATTTGGCCCTAAACAGAGAGTACACAGTGGCAGAATACCTGACCACTGTGACTGACCCAAACTTAAGGAAAGCTTTGACTATGTACAGACTCAGTGAGCATAGCCTTGCTATTGAGAAAGGCCGCCGTAGGCAGACCTGGCTCTCAAGAGAAGACAGGCTATTTGCACACTGCCCACAAAATGAGGTGGAAACTGAGCTGCACTTCCTAACCTCCTGCCAAATGTATGACCATATTAGAGACACATATTTCCCTCAGATTACAGCGATCCACAAAGAATTCGAAAACAAACCCAATTTTGATAAACTCCCTTATCTACTGGGTGAAAAACCACAGTGTGCCATCACAGCAGCAAGATTTGTGACCTGTTGCCACAAGAAAAGGGCAACCAGTGAAGAACAAACACCATTGTAAATACAACTCATATTTATGTTTATTTATTTTCCCATTTGTACTTTAACTATTTGCACATTGTTACAACACTGTATATATACATAATATGACATTTGAAATGTCTTTATTCTTTTGAAACTTCTGAGTGTAATGTTTACTGTTAATATTTATTGTTTATTTCACTTTTGTTTACTATCTACTTCACTTGCTTTGGCAATGTTAACACACGTTTCCCATGCCAATAAAGCCCTTAAATTGAAATTGAATTGAGAGAGAGAGAGAGAGAGAGAGAGAGAGAGAGAGAGAGACAGAAAGAGAAAGAGAAAGAGAAAGAGAGAGAGAGAGAGAGAGAGAGGAGACAGAGAGAGAGAGAGACAGAGAGAGAGACAGAGAAAGAGAGTTTGAGTTTTAAATAATCTTTATTGGGTCTGGGAGCCCACCACACAATAAATACTCATACAAAACTGTAGTTACACATAAATTAAAAACACAACTCCAATTCCTCCTCCACAGTTACTAAACACAACAGCCTCTGAATACCCCATATACTCATAAAAAGATCAATATTGTTGACAAGTTTATAATAGGCAAACTCAACCCTTATTCTCGCTGCCAACATTCCCTCCAGCATGCCCACCACATCCACAGACCCCTGTCCCTGAATACTGTTCTTTCGGGTCTTCCATATCGCTAATTTTGCTGCCCCTAACACAAAATTAAGCAACACAACTACACCTTTTTGGCTAAACCTGTACTTTGGCCCAAATATATACAGTGGAGAAGAGAAAACCTCTCCCAACGTTGAGAACCAATTAGTGATCAGGTCAATCATCCCGACCAACCTGGGACACTGTAAAAACAGATGTGCCAGAGTTTCAGACTGAGCACAGAATGGACACCCCTCCCCAACAGTAGGATCCAGGTGTACCAGATACATGTTGGTGGCTATGGCTCCATGTATTATCCTCCATTTGAGGTCAGCTGTCCTCTTATCAATAGGCAGTTTGTATAATGATCGCCAACAGCCTTTTGGGGAGGCACCTGGACCAAGCACACCTGTCCACCTCGTCGATTTTACCCCTTCCAGGGAAGAGGCATGGGACACCTTTACACATATTCTGTACATGGCCTTCTTTCCCACTTCCTTGAACTCCCCCAGCTCCGGGGTATCGAAGGAAAGCAGCATTCCCACGTCCTCCTCGAATGCCCCCGCCGCAGCACTAACAATCAGTGCAGGGAACACATAATCCAGACCCTCCTTCCACCGATCAGAATTGGAAGTGTCAGTCACATACTGCAGATGAAGTACTGGCGAGGAGTCACAGACCTCAGCGACGACCTTCCTCAGTAGGCGAGACGATCGGATCCCCGCTCTTTCTCCCAGCTCCTCCAACGACCTATTCCTGTTCCGCATCAGATGACCCCACTCCAGCTTTAAGAGGAAAGGGTGCTTGTCTAAGCCCAAACAGCCCGCTCTCCTCATCAATGCGTAGGCTGTGTCAACCCAGCTAGAACCATCACTGTACAACAGTCTCTGGGCTGCTTGAAGCCGGAAAGCCATGATCCTGGAAGAAATGTCCACCAGGCCTTGCCCACCCTCGTGCAGTGGCAGGTACAGGGCTGAAGCTTTAATCCAATGTTGTCCAGACCAGAAGAAATTGACAAGGGTCCTCTGAAGCTCTTGTATCAGACCCTTTGGTGGCTGTAAAATCATTAGTCTGTGCCACAGGGTAGAGGCAGCTAGGTTATTAGCTACCAGTACCCTTCCCCTATAAGACAGCTGGGGCAGCACCCATTTCCATCTTGACAGTCTGGCACACACTTTCTCCACTACACCCTCCCAGTTCTTTTTCTGAAAGACATCGGAGCCTAGAAAAACCCCCAGTCTTCATCCCATCTCTGCCCCACTGAAGCCCCCCTGGTAACCGTGGAGCGGACCCCATCTGAAGCTGGCCTGCCCACAGCGCTTCACTCTTTCCCCAATTGACTCTAGCTGAGGAGGCCCCCCTCATACACCTTTAAAGTGTTTGAGAGAACCTTAACATCCTCACCCCCTGTAATAAAAACTGTCACGTCATCTGCATACGCAGACAGTGCTATCGTGGGACCCTTCATAACCCCTGGCACAGAGAAACCAGTAAGCCTCTGATATATTAATTTGTATTTTAAGCTTAATGACTAAAGGATTTCACCCCAAATACAGTATAAAATGTGTTAACAGTGTTAGAATTAGAATGTAGTGTCAACCAACCCACTAACAGAGGGGGGCGGGACTAAACATTCCAGAGTAAGGAGAAAGGTGGAAACTGTTTAAGAAAGCCTCCTAAAGGTGGGCGGAGCAAGGTGCCTTTGTGTGTAAAGGAGTATAAAACAGTATGTATGTGTTTTGGGCGCCAGAGCTCTCCATGAATAAACATTCAGATCATTCTTGTTGGTTGTGGACCTTGAATCATTTATGATTAAAACCAGAGCCTTACAACCTCTGGTAATGATTCAAGCTTAGGTTGAATTAGAGATAGAAATTATCCTAACAGAGTGGTCCTTCGAGCCGGATCTTAAATACATCTTTGTCGTTCTAAGAACACCGAAACCGTGCACGGGCGGATGATTGCATCCGTGGAGAATAGTCCTGGCCTTCGACGTTAAGGTTATAAACAGGCCGGTGATTACTCTTATGAACGATAAAGAAGTTAACAAGTTTGAAAAAGCATTTAAATCCAAACTGCAAGGAAAAGGTCAGTCATTTTTATTCATGAATTTTGGTGAAATGATTTGAACTTGTATAAGAATAAGTAATTCTTGTGAAGGGCAGAGAATAGTTACCAAAATCGCAAAGGAAGTAATAATTATTACTAAACGGGGAGGGTCTGAAATTGACCCTAGGTAAATAGCTATTACCAAAATAATCTAGTCCGAAATGACACGGGGTGAATGGCCATCACCAATGTAAACTAGTTTTTATCGAGATTGTACTGGGTGCAGTGTTACGATAAACAGGGAAAGGGATGATTTTCGTCGCGTGCTATGGATACATTAAACAGGTCAAAAGTCGCGTA